CTAAGTTTTCATAGGATGTAATATTTATCAAGCAAAGTATCGCATGATCGTCCTGAAATGCAAGTATTAAATTTACCTGTTAATAATTAAATCAGGCAGAGTTATGAAGGCTTGAAAGTACAAGGGGTCTGTGAATTCAAGTGGATAGGTTTTTCAATGCTTTCTAAAGCCAATGAATTGCATGTATGACTCCAACTAGACAACAGAAACTAGATGGTTTCATTTGTTCACTTGGATAAAACTTGATCATCTTTCCGTAATACCTATTCATCTCACTTGATTGTTTAAATGTCTTTAGAAACTCGCCGATGTTTTCACACACTTCAACTCTAAGCGCCAGTAAAGCGTATATCTTAAAAAAATAACTCGCTTCAAATTCGCAAGTGACCAAGATGTTAGAAAGTTGTTAATGAGGATTTTTTCATTGAAGAAATTCCTTTTTACTACTATTATTACAAGGCGGTTTGCAATCTGTTTCTTCGCTTCCAGTGTGTATTTTTACTTCTGTCAGTTACACTCCCGAAATTCCTTCGTGTTCATAGGCAACTGTAACACTTAGTATTTGAGCTATTTTAACTGTGCTAATGCGCGTCGGTGGCATAGCGGTTAGGACGCTCGCCGACCATACACATGGTCCAGGGTTCGATCCCCGGTCACCGAAGGAATCCTTTACCTCCCGTAGCCAGAAATAATCCTGGTAAAGAGGAAAGACTGGGCATGAGGCTAGGGACCCCATCCTGTAAAAATAAACACCACTGCAACAGAAACTTCAAGCCACTAGCTTGAAGCCCTATGTTCCACTGGGGAACGTGAAGGGAAGAAAAAACTGTGCTAATAATAATAATAATCCCTACTGACTGGACTTCCTAAAATCCTTTTATTATTTTAAAACAAGACTAAAAGTCCATAAAATAAAACAATCCATTTTCATAATCAAACTGCAAAACACATAGAAGGCTAAATGCTTACTAGAACATAAATAAAACAAAACTCATAATTAAAGTCTCACTATCTTTTTCGCTTTTCACCCAAGTTGGAACTAATCACTTATATTTCTGTCGACAATGACAGTATTCATGAATAGTCGAATAGTAAGGCACCAGTATACGAGTGAAACATCATTTATATATTTTGTTCTTCTCACATTCACTTAGACTAACATATATTCCAGTGAAAAAGTATCATTGGAAACAGACAATTCCCTGACTGCTAACATTTTGTCATCCATCAAAGTGATTTTTTATTTGTGTTTCTCTTGGATTAAATGTATCATCACTGGAATTAGTAATGGTAACTAACTATTCCAACTTAATTAGGCATAAATTATGCTGCATTCAATCTGTATTTAAAAAAATATACACATATGCATATATATATATATATATAAAGATTGCTTCATCTATTCAGTACAGTAATACTCAGAAAGGATTCCATACACATAATCTTGCCAGTGATTGCTTTAGTCCTTTGTATTTATTCACTCAATCAATATAGAAGCTTTGAGAGTTGTAGGGGAAAAAAAGTAGGAGAATAAGCAGTAACTACTTCCTGAAAATGCAAATTTTCATTGAAAGAAAAAGAAAACTATTTAGACAACTTTACTGCATACTGTAAAACCAGGAAATGTTGTTGTCATTATTAATTCATTTATTTGCTTACTTGCTTACTTACTCACTTGTTTCCTTACTTGTACTAGCTTTAAACTTCTGTTGTTAGATTTATTTCAACTCCTCGTTGATGATTATTATTCTGCAATCGTGTACCAAATGTCGTGTAATTATGCATGATTAATTAAGCGTAAAAATATTTTCAGGACAAGATCAATCATTATTTATTCTTATTTTTTTTTAATACAAATAAATATGTTATAAGCAGTGGAAATATGATTTGCATGAAGACCGTTTAGCATTTTGTGCATTAAAATGTTACAAACAAAATTATTAATTAATTAAGTTGTACTCATTATTACACCATTGTAAGTATTCTGTTTGATTGTAAACTACTAATCACTTTTGACAGGTATTACTGAGAACGGAAAATGATAGTAGGTAATTAATCTGAATTGATGAACAATGAGTATACATTTTTTTATATATAACCTAAGAATGACTAATAGTATCATTCACTTAACTGGCAAATAATAATGATAATTTCTGAAGAAGTAATCTCATTCTTAAGTCTATATTTCTGCTGTCAACAGACATTCTAGCTACTTCTTCTGGTGTTCTATATATATATGGTATGTACTAGAGTTTAGTCTAAGCTGACATAAATCAATTCACGTGAGATTGAGAGATTGACAGATATTCTGGTCACATTATGAGTTAATCATAAGCCTAACTTAGACTGATGGAATAATTGACTTTTTTTAGAGATATCGTGAATAAATGCTAACAAAAATTAGCAACAAAACCTATAGATACGCTCTTATATTAGGCAATAAATGCAATGGACAAGATGCCTGGAAAAGTCCTTCTCAACGACCTATATTTAATGTTTTTACTTATTTGAACGTTTTAGCTAACTTTGTAATTACTATTAGCTTTCTCGTCTCAGACTATGTATCATTAATTTGGCATTTGCATATTACACGTTGCTTTTCAACCCTTATTATTTGCTTTTTGTTCTTTTTCGGTCTTTAATTTTAATACTTACCTTTGTGAATTTAAGTAGTGGATGGTGACCAGCACTGGAATCCAGGATGCGCATTTTGTCCTATTGGGGACTCGTCAGCTGGATGTTCCTGCATTTTCAGTGAGTGCTGCTGTTCCCGCCGGGGGTAAAACTCAGTGCCCATAGTTTCAAACACTAGCCAAAGCGTTATCCACTAGACTGCTTGGGCCACGACAGCCATCTCTTGTGCGACGGGTCATATAAATTATTGAATTGAATTTTTGATTTTCCCGTTGATTGACTGGACCGAAGTGCTCGGTCTCAGACTGAAATGTCGGCTTCTTGTGCAGACGCTTTGACGATGTCAGAAACCAGAAATGAGCCTCGGTGGGAACATCATCACTGACTCACTGGGGGATGCAGGTACATCCACATGACGAGTTCCAAAATAAGACGAAATGCGCATCCTAGATTGCACCGCTATTCACCATTCACCAGTTAAATTCTAATTAGATGCCCAGATATCGTCGAAGCATCTGCATAAGAAGCCGACATGTCAACCTAGGACCGAGCACTTCAGTCCAATCAATCGATGGGAAAATCTCAAGTTCACTTAAATTTCCCTTTGTGGTTGTGTGTACAACTGATAATCGACTGTTTAGGGATCTGGGCTTTCTTGAATGACTGAAAGTGATTTTGAGCCAGGATTGTCTGCAGGAAGCCTTGATGTGTGATTCTTGTTCCCCCTCGTTGGTAATATTCTCGTCGATGCGAAGATACCTTTTACAATTGAGCTTTTGTTAACTGATTTTGTCTTATAGCTCTCTTTTTGTAATTGTAATCCTATATTGCCTGTATAGCAGCTGCCTCACGGCACTGTTGAGGTAAATTTGAGTTTTAATGTTATTATTGTGTTTATACAGCCGCTAAAATAGTGGAAAATAAAAGTCTTTTTCCGGCGTTTGGAACATTTTGTGATAGCGCATGTCTCAATGAAGTTTTGTTGGCTATACGATGGAATGTAGAGATCGATTTCTTGCTTTCGGAACATGATCAAATAAAGTCGGTTGTTGCAATAAGTGGTTAAATATGACTCATTACGAAGTGAAACAGTTTTAAAATATAGTCTCATGACTGATTGGTCAGCTGACAGACAGTTGGAAATTAAAGGAATATATTTATTCACATACTGAATTAAGTGAAAATTCCAAACAAGAATGAATTGTTTTCATCTGTGAAAATAGACTATCTGATATGTATCTCAGCTTCATGATTAGGTGGACCGCATACAAGTTAAATAACCTCTGGAAGAAATTCATGGACGTCTACACGGACAGAAGTGGAACATTTTTCACTCAATAATTTCTAATGTGAAACAACCTCGTTTTATCGATGAAACAGTACATAAATCGTATAATTTTACTTTTCATATCTTTGATTTCACATCACATTTTCACTACAAATATGGAATTTTCAGCTTGTGATAATGGTAACCCAATTTTTGCAGGCCGACTATCCATATCAGGTGTACGTCGGTAGCGGATCGGACCCCAGACCATGTGCATGGTCGGCGACATTCATAACCGCTGTACCACCGAAAGTATTAAATTCTGCACTTCAAGAAGCACAAAACACATTCAAAAACTTGTTACCAAGATGAAACGTTCTCTTTTGACTTTTTATTCCTCTGCATTCTGATTCAAAAACTGGGCTACATTTTTGCGCTTCGATGTTTTAGTAACAGTGTTTTTTCACAAAATTCAGTTGATAGCCTGACGACAAACCTTCTCTCTTCACAGAGTTCACTACCGGGTAAGAGAGGTTCGGCAGTTTGTCGACTAATGACTGAACCTCGGACTGCGTGAGTCATTGGAAAGTGTTCTACCTTTGAACCGCATATTTCTGTCAAATGATATTTCAGCAGATAAATTCGTAGACAGGGAATTCTACAGTTTCATCGTAATGACCTACGTTATTTTGGCTTCTGAGCCAAATGAGGATGTAGTAACGCATGCATTTTAGTTCTCCTATACAGTACACTCGAAGACTTACATCACTACATTATTAGGGCTCAGGATGGATTCAAGATATAGGATTTCTTACCATCGCTTCGTCCAGATCAGTTATTATTACAACTCAAAGCAGTGTTTAGCATGAAGAACCGCTGAAACACTTGTATTAAGAAAAAAGTAAGCTTCACCTCTTGTAATAATTACAAATCGAAATTCATTAAGTTGTGAGGTGGATAGATGCATTACTACCAGAGTGAGTCAACCGAATAAATGTTTCATTTTCAATTTATAAAAATGGCATATATGATCACACGAATGTGTATATCTTGTTCTAATTAATAATTGGCCTTCCGTTTTTGCCTCATTTCTTTTCAGCTTATCAATAAGCATTACTAATCAGAACTCAATTCAAGTTGAAGCAGCAAATAACTCATCAAAACTAAAAGCTTTTATTAATCAGGATGAAATGTTTGTTATATTTTCTTCAAAATATACTGTTCAGCTTTTTATCAGTTCAGTGTGATGCTGTTTATAATGTGAAAAGTGAGAATGTGTTACAGCTACTCGGAGACAATGTTAAAATTTCTCAGCTGAAACAATCCATTGATGTATCACCGGACTACTTGAAATGGTCTGAAAATCAGCAAAAATACTTCACATCAATGAAAAATAATGGAGTACCAAGAAGTGCAGTTTATAAATCACAGGCTTCAACTACTCCATCCGATCAAGCTTTCATAACCTCTCAAAATTCTTTACCAATAAATAATAAAAGAACTTTTAAGCAAGCTGCTGTCGTACAGATAAATAATACTACCACGAATGATCAAAAAACAACAACTGGTTTTAATAATGCCGAATCAAATGAAATTAATACTACTGCATCCACTGTAGTCTACTCAGGTCCAGTTTCTGTTATACTAGGTTTATTAACAGTCATAGTTAGTTTTATAACAATATTTGGTAATATTTTAGTTCTCACTTCATTTTTTGTGGAAAGAGCGTTAAGAACAGCATCGAATTATTTTTTAGCTTCTTTAGCTGTTACAGATGTGTTAATTGGATTGTTTTCAATGAATTTTTATACATTGTACCTTATTCTTGGACGATGGCCACTAGGAAGACTTTCATGTGATTTATGGCTAAGCTTAGATTACACGGCCTGTTTAACATCTCAGTACACTGTACTCATCATAACTATTGACAGATTTTGTTCGGTGCATATGCCTGCTAAGTACAGAAATTGGAGAACTGATAGAAAAGTGCTTATTTTAGTGGCTATCACATGGATAATACCATCGTCAGTATTTTTTACTACAATCATGGGATGGCCTTACTTTAATACAAGTGTTAGTCCTAGACGATCTGATGAATGTTATGCAGAATTTTCAAATGATCCTGTTTTCAATACAATTTTCACAGTATGCTATTTCTGGATCACATTATGCGTAATGTTAGGATTATATGTTGGTATATATCGCGTTGCTGCTGACTTACAAAGAAGAAGTGATGAAAAAAGAAATCGTGTTTCTGGTCTAATCACTACGAATACGCAAAATGGTAAAAGTAACAAGCAAATGAAAATCAATAGTCAAATAAATCCTTTGCAGAACGCGAATCAAAAAGGCACAAATATTCATACTTATCCCAATAGTAGCAGTTTGGGTTGTCCAGGAGATTCATCTGGTTTCGATTCAGATGAAGGTAAACTGAACCCTGTTAAATCTAACGTTTTGTCAAAAACTAATAAAACTGCTGAAAAGCGGAAAGTGTATTCACAGAGTAAAAGACACAATGTAACACAACCCATAACTGAATCACAAATCCAGCATTCTATCTCACCATTTCAGAAAATTGAAGCTCGGTGTGATGTCCTACCAGGTGTTTTGGAAAATGTTCGCATTATCCCGCCAAAACCAAAAGTAAATGATTCATCAAAACCAATGTCAGATAATTTTAATGACTCTGCAGAAGGGGACATAGGTTATATTTTACCAGCTTCCGTGATGCTTAATGAAGGCGTTGGTCTCATGATCAGCTCACCGGTGTTAACTGATGATGACAGTGGACTTGAGGTTAATTATTATCATCCAGTCATGTCAAAATTGAAAAAGGAAAGTTCCACTTCTGAATTCTTTGATTTTTTAAATGAAGATGAAACTGATGCAAAAACAAAAAAGCAAGATCAAATTAGTGGTCAGAAGAAAGAGTCTAAACGTGGAGAAAATAATCAATCTGGGACTGACCAAGAGTATCAAAATCGTGTTATGGAACAGTTTAAACAGAGATTAGCTGCTTTAAATAACCAAACTATGAAAAACCGTGCTCCAAACTGCATTAAATCTAATGATCAGCCAACAAATGTAAGTTTATCGAAATCCAAACTGACCACCAATCATTCACGACTCACTCTAAATACTTCAAATTTCTCCGAGTCTACATCATCGAAAGGCACTGAAAATACTACAAATAATCTTTGCAATAATAATAATAATGAAAATCGCACTGTAAATTGTGTGACAAATCAGAAAACACAGTTTTCTAGCAGTAACATAGAAGGCTCTAACTCTACTGATGCTGATGGTAATTTACAGTCCCCATTGTTTGCGAACAATTCATCTCCAATCTGGAAATCTCGTCCTGTATGTTGTGATGGTATTGCCAGTGCACCTTGTTCTATTAAAAGCTATCAATGTTTCAATAGACGTAAACAATCAGATGAATGTATTAGCCAACAAATCTGCGTTATCTGCATGAGTCAGCAACAACAACAACAACAAGACTCTGATACTCTACAATCAAGTTCAAGCTATGGAGACTTTACTAGCCCAGTTGTCTGTGATGAAAAGTGTCTGTGTCATTCACAAACATATACGCATAATGACAACTCGGCAAAAGTATCCATTGGAACACGTTTATTATACTATTTAAAGACATTGAAATTTAAATCTCCATCAGTAAATATTATAGAACAAGTTAAAAAGTCTTTGATTCGTAGAAAATCAAAACAAGTGATTGAACGTGGAAGACGTGAAAATCGAGCTCGCAAGGCATTGAGAACAATCACATTTATAATGGGTGCATTTGTTATATGCTGGACACCATATCACATACTTATTATGATAAAAGGGATATGTGATGATATTCAGCAGAAATACACCTGTGTCAATGAAATATTCTACAGTGTCACTTATTGGTTATGCTATATGAATTCACCTATTAATCCATTTTGTTATGCATTAGCTAATGCACAATTCAAAAAGACATTTCTACGAATATTTCATGGGGATTTCAGAAGATTATGAAAATTTTTTGGGGGAGCGATGAGGAACCCTCATTTAAATTAAACACTAACTAGGTGAATATGTGCAGATGTTTGTCTTTTATTTTTAAATTTCCAGAAGTAAATGGCCTAAGACATATACGTAAGATGATTAGTGAAACTATTTTCAAAAGTTTCATGGTGTAAAAATGCATTTCTGTTTTAAAGAAAAAAAGATTTAACAAAATATTATAGAAATACTTTATTAGGCAGTTACCTATTATAAATGGAAACCACTTTCTAATCAGCTTCAAATGAAAAGTCGTGCATTTACCGTTGTATTTTGCCATATATGCATGCACGCACACACTTAAGCACACACAAACACACCTTTCCTCTAAACTGTGTATAATATTTGAATAATCCCTGTGCTGTAAAAATTTTCAGCTTCTTCGTTCCACTTAAATTTTCTTCAGTACTTTTTTTCTTTCTTACATACGCAGAGAGAATAGTCTACAGAAACAAGTGACTGGAACATATAAGTACAGTGTTGCTATTTTTTAGGAAGGTGTGTTTATTTCTATGGAAGATGTAGTGTATAAATGTGATCACGTTTTGTTTTAATATATAACATTTCTGGAAGTTATATTACTTCTCATTACTTCCCATTCGGCCTTCTTTGTGTGGCTGTCAACTACTTTTAGAGTTACAAGTGCGAATTTACAGTGGGTGTAATCATAAATTTGCATTGACGACAAGTCTAGCACCAGGCTGCATGGTCTGCCATCCAATGCGACATCTAATAAAAGAAATTATTCTGGAATCTGAAGCTTTCTTTATTGATTGCTGGTGATGTAAAGAGATTTTAAATGGACTGAATTATAATTCATCAGACACTCAGATGAAAGCAATCTTAAATGACAATGGTATTTTTTTCTATTACAGCTTGATTCCACACCGTATTTTCGGTACAAGTATGGAATTCTCAGCATGTGATATCAATAGCCCAAATTTCGCAGGCCGACCATAGATATCAGGTGTGCGTCGACCAGGGATCGAATCCCGTACCATGTGCATGGCCGACGAGAGTCCATCGACGCACTTCAGTTACGCTTCTACAGTAGGCTTAAAGAGTTTAGAACTAAATATTAAAGCTCGCATTCAGTAGGCTATTCTAATTAAAGTTTTATTCCAAAAGAAAATGCATAGTGCATTACAATATCTTTTTACCTACTTCAGAGACCACACTATATTCACTATTATCCAACTTTGATTGAAAGTTAAATGTCAGAAGCAGCATTCACTGACACAGGCTAAATTTTCAAAGTATCCGATTTGAAAAGAAAAATGTACTACTATACTTCTTTAAAATAGATATTAGCACTGCTGGTCAGTTGAGAAGACGGTGAAGCTTCAACTTCTTAACCTTGTCATAAATTGTTCAGTACTGTCGAAAGACAGATATTCAGATTTAAAGACAAATTACCTAACTTTATACATATAGATTATTGGGCAACTAATGGGTAACAGTAGCGTTTGTTTCAAATATATCTTTGCTTTTCAGCAGATAGTAAGACGAAGTTCTAAGTAGATACACACACTAGGTAATAGTTGTCTTTTCTGTTACAGAGATGAGATGGAGATTTAACTTTAACTGCGTTTACTTCGCTGAACATCAGTCAAATTACTACTTGGCTGTTATACATAACATAAATAATAATAATCTACTTTATTCCAAAAACACTACTTGTAATACAAAATAGAATTCTCAGCATTTGTCACACTATTGCATCTCCTTTACTTAAAATATAAATAAAATCCAAAATTAAAACAAAATTAAGCAGAGGAATTTGTCCACGTTTACGATATAAAGTGAAAAAAAATTCGAAGCACGAATGGAGATTATCAAATATAAAATAATAATAATAACAGTGGGTTTGTTTTAAACAGTACTGTCGACTGAATTAGAGAACTTTAGTATGTTATAGATTGTTGGATCTAATGTTCTATTGATATAGCATGGTGGGGGAGAGACAAAATTAACAGTTATAACACAGCATAAATTATGTTCACACTTATTACAAAGAAATAAATAAAAACAAAAATTGAGAGTATTATCAATATCAGAAATACAATAACAATAAAGTTTGATGGTGTAGGCGTGGAGTAAATGGTTTATCTTCTAGTGGAAAGAAGGCTAGTTTGTTCATGCCTGACACTGTTTTCATCACATAAAGTACGTGCCAAATATGGTATAGTGGAATCTTTATACTTAGACGTACGTGCATATAGTCTTCTGAAAAGAATTCTTGTTTTATCTGAGGAGACACAAGGTTGTAGCTGCGGGTAGAGTGAGTGCTCACAGTCTGACAAAATTCCTTTAGCGAATTTGTTGCACGACATCAAGTGCCTATTAGTGACTGTGTCAACGATATGGTCCAATGGGATACCACTCGTCCTACTGACAGTCTTCAGAGTACTAAGAAGTATGACATAGTCATATTTTTTAAGCGATCCAGGAAAGAATAAGGGTTAACAGGAGAGATGAATAGGTAAGATGCACGAGTTGACAGACTGTAAGAGGAGGAGGGATTGGTTTATGCCTGAGCGCCTTAACTTCCTAATGTGAAAAGTCAGATAAAATATTCTTATAGAAATCACTTAGACATGGGAAGACCTCGATCGGTCAGAAGAAAGAATTATTCCAAGATACTTAACTTCAGACTCGATTTCTATATGAGTGTCATCAATTTTGCAAGGCTCATAGTATTCAACGGCTTCATTTAACTTTCGTTTACATCGGAAACTGAAATTGATAGTCTGATATTTGCAAGAATTTAGTTTAAGGCCATTAGACCAAGACCATTTGCCGATTCTTGATAGAAAGCTGTTCCTCCTGGTACAGTCAAGCTGGGAGTTTACATAAATTGAAATAGCTAGATCGTCCGACTACTTAACAAGGTTCATTTCGTTATCAGAAAGAGGTTAGTCACGCATGAAGAAAGAAAACAAAAAAAGAGAAAGGACAGCGCCTTGAAGGACATGAGCCTTAGAAGGCTTAGAAGTGAACGACTTTCCCTGACATACAGTGTACCGCTTTCTTCCTGAGAAATAAGAATGCAGCCATTTGACAACCTTACAGTCAGTTTGAATTTCAGCAAGCTTGTTTAACAAAATGTTCCTAGGTACTGAATCGAAAGCAGATGTGTAATCTAGGAAATGCCAATCTGATACTTTGTGTCAGTGTACTGCTGAAATAAAGAAGTGCAAAATGTGCTCTATTTCATTCTTTCAACTGCTTAAATTTGAAGCTGATGGGGAAAAAACAATTAGGATGAAATAGGTTTACGGTATAGTTATAGTTGTTACAATGAGACTGTCTCCTGCATACTTTCCAGACAGAAATAACTCTTATGAAGACTTTGATTTACTCTCCTTTTTTATGAGGTGATATTACTTGTTACTGATGAAATCAGTGAGTTACCAGAGTTCCGGTGCAATTGAAACACTTTAAAAAAGATCTCTTTCATGGCTTCATAGCCTGGTGAGCAAACTTTTCACTCTCATACTTATAAGTAATACACTTAGGTTTTGATTGAAAACACAAAACATGCAATAAGCAGTCTAAAACGCTGGTTAATTTCAAGATAGATCAACAGTTGACATCAATTTAAAAAACCACTGAGTAGTGGACGGCTGTTTCGTCTTGGTTTCAGACTCTTCAAGAAGGCTCACCCATGTTCCTACTGAATACTAAATCCATGATCTTCAGGTCAACAAGCCATCCACTTGATCATTCATTCAGTGTGACAGATTCTGACACTACCAGCCAATGTCATAGGTTAACATGGGTCCTCAAATGCACCTTGACGGACTGAACACTGCTCATGACTTCTCAACTTCGTACTGTAGTCAATCACCAGTGAATAGCAGATCGGATAAGTTTTCTAGAGATGTTTCGCAGAGATTTGATTTAAATAATTTTACGAAACAACAGAAATGAGGACTAGAGATCCATTAGAATGCATCAGGATTCCCAGTTGAGATGAAATTGTCGTTCATTCCTCTCGTTTTCAATCGTTCCCTAGATGGCATAAAGTTGTGATCGAAATCTAAACATAGTTACTGAAGTCATACGTGGATCCAGCGTATCTTCTAAAGTAATAATGTTTGGTTTAAGTTGCCTTTGATCACTACAGTCTTCGAATTTGAAAGAAAATTATTTAAAAATACAAATGAGTTTGCTTCTGAAACAGCTTAAGTAGCAGATATTTTTCGAACACCTCGCCTCTAAGAATATATTATACTGATGCTAAGGGAATATATGAAAGGTGAAATTTGAATACAAAGCTAATGCTTCAACACATAAATTCATTAGCAGGTGGAATCCGGTTTTTTTCTGATTACAAAAATCGGCAGGGTGAATTAAGTCTACTAGACTTTAAAAAAACAGAAATAAGGTCAAATTTAGTCACTATCATATACAGATCAGTATTGTATTTTGACGAGTACTTGTGGCTTTAGTGACTGCACTTGAAGCCATCAAAGCACACCTAGATGAATGTTTATATAGACAAGCCAGAGGTTGCATCGGTGTTATGTACTGGTCGAGAATTTAATAGTCCTGACGCAAGAAAGACGGAAATCAGAAGACCACTAGGTTTGCGATGATACTTCTATTTTCCAAACACAAGGAGAACCAAGTGTGTGAGAAAAAATATAAGAATGTCCGAACAAGTGTGTGAACGAATTTTCAAAATAAACAAATCAGTAGACAGTCTTAACATGATTGGCTAATTATAATGGAATATCGATCCATATATACATAGCAAAATATATCAGACTGTCAAACAAACACACACATTATATGGATATATATCACCTCCCCTTTTGAGAAGATTGATGATTAGTAGGATGTTTTCCTGGGGGTTTATCTGGAACCTTTGGGCTTGTTGTTGACGTCTGTCGTTTCGTCTGCTTGTTGGGTTTGCGGCTTCGGCTTCGTCCGGAATTGTCTGACATTTTATGCTTCTTGACTGCATTGCATAGCGAATTTAGTGGGACATCAGCCAGATGCAAACGATCGAACCAATCAAGTCCCAAAAGATTTAAATCACTCTTGGTGACGTAGCAAATTCCTGTGAATTTGATATTGCGGAATGAAACAGAACATTTGAGTTCACCAATTAGTTTGAGCCGCCCACCACAGGCGCTGAGAGCAGTCTGAGAAGTATTTGCGATTGGTGGTCTGCCAATATATTCCAAAGTTTCTCTGATATAACAGTAATATCAGAGGCGGTATCTAGCTGCAGACGTGTATCATGACCATTCATCTGAAGATCAAGATATTTCCGCATACCTGGTGTTGTGACTTGACAGGTTGCGCGTAGACTCAATGATCTCCTTGGAGATTTAGGACCAACAGTTTGTCGAGCTTTCGCTGGATTTTGATATCTGAGTTTGCGTGGCTGACAAAACCCATTTTTATGACCGATGATTTTGCACTTGCTGCAACGATGATTTTTGTACGGACAAGACTTTACAAAGTGCCACGCGCCACAATGCCAGCATGGTGATGGTGGGGTCTTCTTTGCAGTATTTTGTGAAGTTGGACGAGTATGTGTAGATTTCCGCGGAACATTAGAG